AGATATGGAATTCCGTTAACGCTACCTGTCCAGCGTCTCCTGATGGTGGCTGTAGCTCGTCAGAAGTAGTGGCTAGTGAAAGTTATAATCCCATGGAACTCGGAAGAGCTTTTTGTCATGTCAAGATCATCCCGTCTCCGACAGAACTCGAATAGAACCAGCAGAAAACTCTCCAGCACTCTCGAACTCTCCAAAAACTCTAGAAGTCTGACAACTCTCCAACTCCGTGTAGACCAGGAAGTACTGACATTTTAAAGACTCTTTCCCGGTTCACTTTTTGGGATTTGTTCATTGGTCAGAAACGACCAGACGGGGTGGGTTTTGTGACGTAAGAGGTTAGAGACAGCGAGAATTGTTATGAGACAGATCAGAAATGTTCTCACAGACCGAGAGGGTTTTGTTTTGGCGTGTTTCAGGAAACAGGTGCAAAACATCTCTACTTACGTCTGAGAGGATTCTAAAACATGACAGTTTTAACATAACAACTTGTTTTTCGTTTGACTGTAACCTTGTAAACGCACACACTTGCTCATTCAAAAGCAGAAATCAGAAAAATGCATAATTACTCTGTAACAGCTTTTAACATGAGTTCTAACTGCATGAGAATAAAAATCATTACTCAGTTAATAAAATTGATTAGTTCACTGCAACATCTAAAATGGTTTGAACTAAGACACTTTGATTATCAACATTTGTAGAATAGTACTGATAATAAAAAGAGAGTGTTCTTTTCACTTGAACCTTCAAGAAAGAAAGTCTCAGGATGGGTGAACCTGTATTTATGTATTCAAATACATGAAATGACAGTTCCTGTCCCACAAGGTTCTAAAGGTCAAGAGTTTTGACCTTAGACTTAGTTTTGACGTAGGCCTAGTCCACTACATGTAAATGAAAAATTTATTGAAACCATGTAAAATTGTTTAAAAAAAAAATTAAGTTAAGTATTGTTCTTAAAACTATGTAAATGTATGGAACAATCTGAAAAACTGACCTTAAAAATTAAACAACCTTTACCCACACATTTGACCTGTTTATGTTACTTCTTCCTCAATACTTCACAAAATTCATAAAACCTGTGCTTCCACTTAGGGGGCCCCCTAGTGGCCCCGGCGTCCTAAGCAGCCACTTAGTTTGCTTATGCTTTGGGCCGGTCCTGTATTAAGGACAAGTACTTATTTTTTCTTCTGAGCTCGGACTCAGTCGGTTTCTCTCTTTGAAATTGTTGTCCACATGTCTGCTGTCAAACTTATAGCAGGAACTTTCTGGACCTCGGCTTTGACCTTCTCTTTTTGTTTATGGCCTCAACCAAGGCCATAATAATCTAAAGGGAAGCAAGACAATAATTACTCATTTCAAAACTAGTCATATGCTGCATATCGCCACGCAAACCGTTCTAGAAGTGGGAACATGGGTTGGATCTAATTTTGCGACAAAGTCCCTAAAGTCTTTGCCTTTGACTACGCTGGCTGTTTGTCTCCAACACTCAGAGATCAAAGCCTCTTCCAGCTCCTCCTTTTGCCGCTGGGATTACAATAGATGAGATTATACTTTATTGTGATTCAAAGCTACAGACAGAACTCAATCAACATGTGCAATGATTCTTGTGTCTTCATTTTGTGATATGTATGAGCTGAATGAAATCTTGTTGATGTCATTACTATAACAGCAATAATAACAACAATTTTAACTTGCATGTGTAATGCACTTCACAATGATGAGTCTGCATGCCCCCAAAATAATGATAATAAAAAAGGAAGAAAAACAATAATAGGAAGTGAGAAACAATTATATTACTTTTTTCATAAGACACTTTGCAGAATACTGTATTAGTAACAGATTTCAGTATCTAACAGAAAAAATAATATTCTGTGTAATATTACTGGGAGACGACTCAAAGTGTTGGCACGCAGGTGAAACTCTTCTTCTTTTCGCAGGCCCCATGAAAAGAAGCTCCTCGGTCATGAAGTGGTGAAACTACAACACAAACACGTGCACACAGGTTTTATCAGGATCCATTAATTTTATATAAACTAATGAAGTGTGCCAAAATGCGAATCCTTCTCCCGAACTAACAAGGCTTCAGACATGATCAATGACATCACTCGCCCTTAATGACACAAACCTCGATACGCACTTGACACATGGTTCAAAGCTTCGGCATGGGAGGACCCATCACTAGTCCTGATCCCATTCGGAAATGTTGCGTAGCATCAGATGACATCATAGTCTGGGTGTATTCCAGAAGTAATAATGTAACTTTTCATTTAGCTTTCCTTCAAAAGCATCAATCTTATACCATCTCAATTTTTAAAGCTGTAAGACTGCATGGGTGTGAGTAATTTTGTGCTGCAGGCTTCAAAATGTAAAAGTGAACCATAAAGCAATATCCTATTTATTTTTATTTTTTTTAATCTGTGCTTACAAATATATCCTGCTGTTAAATGCAAATGTCCAACTTTCAGCTGATAAAATTCCAGTTGCTGCATTTTCATAAAATGACACATTTTGAGTTTTCACTTGCCACTGAATGAAGAATCGTGAATGAAATTTGGTTTTTCTCTGTTTTGACTCTTCTAGGCAAAGAAAGTTGCACTTGCAGGTCAGCAGTTCACATGCAACCATCTTATGGGAGACGGTATATTTTGTTACTGGTACAAGCGCTTTAAGGTATCTGTTCTTCACATGCAAACTGTCTTTATAATCACTGCGTTTAAAGAACAGTACTGAATAGAATAATGTTCTTCTCATAGGAGTATGCCAAACTCCAGATCACAGAGCCCAAGGTTCGGAAGGGCATGGAGCCCGTGGAGCAACCCATCGATGACCTTTTTCCAAGTTCCTGCGGTAGGAGACAACAGTGTTTTTTTTTTTTTTTTTGGTCTGTCAAACGACACCTGCAGTTATTTGGACATCAAGGTGACAAAATGAAGTGAACTTAAAGTTTTAGGCAGTCTGATTGAATTTAAGTATCGTTGATTTGATCATTTATACCTATTCTGAAACTTTGGTGACGTCAGTTAAGTTTTATCGGAACATTTTATTTAACTTTTTTTTTTTTTTTTATTTTACCCCTTGATAATATAATGTATGTATTTGCATGGTTAAAACAAACCTCTGTAAAGACATTATTATTAACTTAATCGAGAGTTCCAGAAAGTAATTAGTTGAAAAAAAAAATCAATTTGTAATTAGTATTTTTAGTTTAAATGACAACAGCCCACTCTGCAGTCTCTGTCTCCCTCTGCTGCACAGAATGTGTTACTGCAGAACAAAACGGAAAATGGTATTACGTACTGTCATTAATTGAGTATTACATTTTGTATTTTAAATTGGTTGAAATTATTGCATTATTTTTAAAATTTACAATAACAATACAATTTGTTTTCTTTTCCAGGTAAAAGATGGACTTTGACTACTTCATATCTTCAGGATCACAGAATGATTAATATTTTTTTTAAGTTCTGAAAAAGATAAAGTCTATTTTTTAAATAAAATATATTTTTTAATGTTTTGTGTTTTATTTCCACATTTCACAGTCTGCAGCCCATACACCCAAATGCATATTTAATGCTCCAAGATGATTTAAAGAGAGATGCATTACCCAAAATAACATTTAGTCATCAATACCAGATTTAACTTTTTTGGATCAATACCATTGTTACACAATTGCAATTTGGCTTTTACAAAGATATGAACCAAGTCATTTATTTAAATGTGTTTATTAACAATGATTAATTCAACAATGCTTGACCTGCTTAAAAAATAACTGAGCAGAACAAAAAAATGAAAATAAAAATAATTCACCTTGCTCTAAAGTAATAGTTGAGATGTGTTATTGAGCATGCATCAGGATAATAGTTGAGATTTTTAGAATCAGAGATCTAAGTAAAGTTTATGGGCGGTACGTATTTTGTGCTTTGAACAACCTCAGTTTGGAGAAACAGAGTTTAACTTAGACCAGACTGATAAATTAATGGATAATCTAAGTGTTGCAAAGACCAAAGTTGCCTCTTAAACAGCTCCACACTTCAAAATTTCACAGCAGCTTCATCTTTTTTTCGTCTTCTTCTTCTTTCGGCTGCTCCCTTCTTCGGGGGTCGCCACAGCGAGTTGCATGAAGACTTGGCAGTTATTTTACGCTGGATGTCCTTCCTGATGCAACCACAGACCACCGAGCTACCACAGCCCTCTGTGTGGAGCAGAGAGCTGCTATCTAGGACACCCGGAGGAGCAGATGGTGGGGGTTAATGGCCTTGCTCAAGGGCCCAGAGTGGGACAAATGAGGGTGAGGGCAGGTGTGGGTGCTTCTCTAACCCCACCCACATTTTTGATGTTGTCAGTACCGGGTCTTGAACCGACGATCTTCTGATCACAGGCTCACCTTCTCTAACCTCTGCGCCACAACTCCCCTACTCACAGCAGCTTCATCTGAATACTATTATTTAAACATTTTCACTGCTTTCAGGTGTATACTAGTATTTATACATAATGATGTAGATAGTTACATGCCCAAAATGCAGCAGCTATTGAAGTGTTTCCAACAGAAATGTCATACTTCAGCTTAAATAAGCCTTGACAGTGACTTTGATTGTGCTAATGTTACAACTAGGAGATTGAAGCTGCTTTAGGACAGATTTAGTTTGTTTTTATTTTTGGACTTCTCCTCAATCTGATTTGAATTTAAACTGGGTTCATTCAGAGCACTACCTTCGACAGGTAAGATATTAATTGTTCATGATCGATAAGGACACAGGGAGCTGTAATGACATCTCCTGAACGCTAGGTGGCTCTGTGACGTTTGCTCATGGATTTCAGAGAAGAAATGGAGAAGTTTGACGAGGTAAATATTGGGATTTTTTTTTTTTTTTTTTTTTTTTTTTGTCACAGGTTTCTCATAAAGCTGCACCATCATCTGTTCAGTGTGTTTGTAAAGATGTGAACGCTACGATTTAAATCGAGTAGTAGTGCTGCTTAAAATGAAAACTCGTTTCCTTTCAGGAAACTGTAAAGCTTCCGTTTGGGACAAAGTTTCTGGACGCTGCTTTGTGTTTCCCATCCTCAGGGGAAACAGATGTGCACACAGCTGTTGTCCTCACGCACGGCGCAGGAGGAGACATGAACTTCAGACATCTGGTGTCTCTCGCGCGCGCTTTGGCTTCAAGTGGCTTCCTCTGCCTCCGCTTCACGTGTAAAGGCTTAAACCTGACTTACAGAGTTAAGGCTTACTCTGCTGTTTGGGTAAAGGTTTTATGTGCTCACTAAAAGTTACATGCTGACATTTCTGAGCATCAATAAGTTGCATTGCATTATTTTATTCTTTCCTTGTAGGACTACTTGAAAACCATACAGAGGTTTACAGTGAATCACATATTTTTGGGAGGTAATAACTCATTAGCAACAAAACTGCATGTGTTTGTGCTTTAATTTTCTGGATTCTGAATATTATGACAATAAAGTGATGCATCCATCCTCAGGCAGGTCGATGGGATGTCGAGCTGCGGCCTCTCTGGCCAGACAGCTGAGCGATGGATCAGAGGATGCAGTGCAGGGGGTCATCTGCCTGTCTTTCCCCATGCACCCCCCTGGACAGATGCACACCCATCGCCAGCGAAGTGAAGACCTCAGGATGCTGCCAGAGGGTGTGCGTGTGCTTTTTGTGTCAGGCACTAAGGACAACATGTGTGACAGGGTGAGCCTGAATCCCACCTGGGCCTTACAGTAATCTAGTTTAAGATGTCGTATCCTTTCTGTATTTGTTGTACTTCTGCTTCTTCTCCATCATTGATGCTTTCTAGGATTATCTTTCCTAATCAACTTCTTAAGTAAACTTCAAGTGCATGTTGTAAGTTTTTAGTTTGTGCGACAAATACTAACATAATACTCCAGTACTATAGTACTAAATAATGTTTACTGCTCTTTTGAAGAACACGATGCGTCAGAGTGACTTGTCTTCTTGCTCAGGACCTTTTGAATGGCGTTCTACAGGATATGAAAGCTCAGACGGACGTGTGTTGGCTGCAAGGAGGCGACCATGGGCTGACAGTGAAAGGAAGGTCTGAAGATTCTGTAATGGATGAAATCAACTTAAAGGTCATCAGCTGGATCAAAGAAAACGGAGCTTAGGCAAATTCAGTGTTGCATGCTTTTTATTTTATTTATGTTTTTGCATTTGTTCAATAAAATTTGGATTTATACAATGAATGCGTATGTAACGTTTTATTGCACAATTACATAATTTGATTGAAAATGTGGTGTAAACCAAATCGTCGTGCAGATGTTTTCTACTGTAAATTATCTGTAGTGAATTTGGTTTTTATTTTACAGAAACGATTTAAATTAAAATAATTGCAAAAGCTTAAGTAGAAGATAGAGAATTGCCAGGTAAAATTTTTAACATTAACCATGTATAACTTTGCTTTAAATTTATTATCCAAAAACTAGATGAATTAAACTTTACTTTTGTTTTATTTCTATTGTAATACTAAAGAAAAAAATAATCTAAATATAACGAAGTCCAATTTATTTGTAATTTTTAGAATTGTATTTATCCTTGCATCCTGTATTTATATTGGGTGAAGTCGATTTCAGGTAATTTTTTTCAGTGTTAATGCATCGGTCAGACTTTTACGTGCAGTCAAATTTAGGAACTAACTTTTAAGTTATTTAGCACAGTTATTTGGTCAGTCTCTTGAAAATGAGTTCTCGTGGCTCAATGAGACTATAAAGGGAAAATGAAAATAAATAAATATTAAATAGAAACCCATTGAACAGGTACACTAGTTACACTCCTTGCTGTAATTATTTTCAAAAACAGCTTTACAAAGTAATATTTTAAAAGATAATTCATTAGGCTTGCTTTTAAATATTTAGTTAACATAACCTATGCTTTCATTGTTTGCTTTTTGCATAAGAAATAAAGAAAAGGAAGAGTACTACCATACTCGTCTTAAAAAAAACAAATCAAACAATAAAAAACGAGACAGAACACTAAGTGATGTGATAAAAGCATACAAGGAGAAAATAGAGCATGAACATTTTTATTTTGAATCAAATAAGGTTAGATGTGCAACTTAAGGGGAAAAAAAAGATGAAAACAAAGCTTAAAACCATGTTCTTCTTTAGACATTCATCATTAAATATGGACCACATGCTTTAT